TGTGTGTGTGTGTCGTGTTGTTGTTGTTGTTGTTGTTGTTGTGTGTGTGTGTGTCGTCGTTGGTTTGTTGTGTGTGTGTGTGTGTTGTGTGTGTGTGTGTGTGTGTGTGTGTGTGTGTGTGTGTGTGTGTTTGTGTGTGTGCCTGTCCGTCTCTCGTCGCTTACGCCCCTCATCCCTCATCCCTCATCTCTCGTCTCTCATCCCCCCGTTCCTCCGTCTCCGATTTATGGTGCCTCTGCGTCCGCAGGTGATGGGGAGTGTGACGGCTGCATTGGATGCTGCGACGAAGATGCTGGTGGTGGAATGGTCCTCCTCTCCGGAATCGGACATGTGGGCCGATGCCGTCATGGCCGCAGTCCTGCAGATCGAATCCCGCCCACAGACGATCAAGAGTGCGTTGTTGAGAGAGTGTGTGTTTGTGTTTGTGTGTGTGCATGTGTGTATGTTTGTGTTTGTGTGTGTGCATGTGTGTTTGTGTTTGTGCTCGTATGTGTTTGTGTTTGTGTTTGTGTTTGTGTTTGTGTTTGTGTTTGTGTTTGTGCGTCTGTCTGTCTGCACCTCTTCTGGCCCTTCGCTGTTTCCAAATCTTCCGCTGCATTTCCTCCTTAGCATGTTCACGTTCTTTGTCTCCTCCACCCAACGCCCATTCCTACATCACGCATCATTGTTACCATCAGTGGCGAGCACACAGCTCTCGGAGCAACGGGAAGCAGATTTCAAGGCGCTACTTGCACAGAGGTGGGTGGGGTGTTTAAGTTGTTGTTCTCTCACTCGTCCTCGCCTGCATTTCTGTTGCAACCCTTCACTACTGCTGTTGTTGTGGAACTCTGTTCCTGTCCTACTCTCCCGCGCTCGCCACATATGCACCCATATGCCCACACACACACACACACACACACACACACACACACACACACACACACACACATCCACGTCCATTCACACGCATCCACACACACACGCACATACACGCCACCTTTATCGCCACCACCAGCTTGTCGCAGCTGCTTGGCGGCCAGTTTGGGCCCGGCGCTGTGTCTCGTGATGGCGATGCACTCCGTGTCCGCTCAAACAACACAACCGGCACAATCCATCTCTCCACTTTGGTGCGTGCGTATGCGTGGCTGCCTGCGCGTCTTTCTGGATAGCTCGCTCGCTCGCTTGCTGTCGTGGCTTCACAGCTCCCTTCTCATCTCGTCTCTCACTCGTGCGTGCTCGTGTCTGCCTCCGCTCTGCGTGCGTTTGTGTGTGCAGGAGGCGGAGAGCGAGGACGAGGAGCTTCGCCGACACCTCACCAACGCCATCCATCGCTTGGAGAACATTGTTCGCCCCCACGCCCATGCGCAGGATGGCTGCTGCCCCAGCACTGCTTGCGGCGCTGACAGTGGTGACGATGACGGTGACGATGATGATGACGAGGACGAGGCGGGTGTGCAGGATGGAGTTAAGGGCGGTGACGCTGGTGCTGAGACGCGTGGTGGTGGTGATGCTGCTGCGATCGCGTGATTTGGATTGTATTGGTTTGTGTGTTTTTTGTGTGTGCGGTTGTGCAGTTGAGGCGAGCGCGTGTGGAAGCAAAGGCAACGCAGTAAAACAGTTGAACAATACAGAAAGGGTGGGTGTTGCTTCTGTTGTTGAAGTGGTTGTTTAAGTTGTTGTTGTTGTTGTTTTTGAAGTGGTTGTTTAAGTTGTTGTTGCTGCTGCTGCTGTTGTTTTATGTAGGTTGTTCTCAAGTCCCTGCGATAAGCACTGTACGACATGTGCAGAAGCCAGCAGCGCAAACAAAAGAACAAACGATGCAACAAGCGCTTAACAACAGAGCAAATTATAAGGGGGGGGGGTCACAGGAGGATAACAGAGCTCCGTACACACACACACACACACACACACACACACACACACACACACACACGTGCGCACATACAGACACACACACACGTGCGCACATACAGACAGGAAGGACCACCGCCTCACCGCAGCCACCAAAAAAAAAAAAAAAAAAAAACTTGCTTCTTGCTTGCTGGATGGATTCCAACGCAGATTCCTTCCAAACAAACAACAACAAACAGAAGCAGCAACGAATATGGGCGAAGGGGACAGGAATCAGCACAACAGCAGTAGCAGAAGCAGCACGCCAAGCGGCGGCAGCAAGGGCGGCGGTGATGGTGTATCACCTGCGGAAGCATCGGGAACGACGTCGCCAGCGTCTGCATCTGCATCTGTGCCCCGGGCAGCCTCCAGCGTCGCCATGCGGCTGGACCAGGACCAGTCGCTTGCGTTCCTGCAGCAGCTGAGGCGAAAGCGGCTCACATGCATCGACGAGATCAAGGCGCTCAAGGACCAGCTCAAGGCCCTGGACGACGATATCCGGGAGGAGCGTGAGCGGCTCGGCGTGGACGACCCAGAGACGCGCCGAAAGGCCATCCTGGATCAGGCCATCGCCCTCTTCAATGAGAAGCCAAAGCGCGGGATTGCCTTCCTCAAACAGAGCGGGTACTTTCACGATGACAACACATGCACGACAGATGACATCGCACAACTGCTCCACTCCGGCTGCTTTGCCAAGACGGCCATCGGCGAATACATTGGCGACAACAAGAAAGAGAAATCTCGAGGTGAGCTCGTTGCTCTGCACTTGAGCGCATGACACCCACACAGCGATGCACACGCACACACGCATGCATGCACAATAGGCGCACACCCTTCACACACACACACACACACACACACACACACACACACACACACACACACACACACACACACACACACACGCAAACACACGCACGCACACACACACACACACGCAAACACACACGTGCCTACTTCCCTCAAACATGCAAGCTCACACACCTTCCATTTTCACACACACACACACATGCACCAACACAGGCGGGTCGAAGAAGACGTGGCGCACGCGGTGGGTTGTGCTGAAAGACCAGTGTCTGTATTACTTCAAACACAAGGACGACGCTGCCCCTTGCGGGATTGTTCCACTCGAGAAGGCGTTTGCACAACCAACCGACACGTCCAAGAAGCGTGCACGCGACTCGCACGGCACCAGTGCAGCCACGTCCTACTTTGAGGTCGTCTCTGCCGAATACGGAGAGGATGGAAAGCGCAAACCGGTTCGCGGCTGCAAAACCAACGCAAAGGGCATGGTGGTCGCAGGTGCGTTGTTGGCCCATCATTCCCACTTCTGGTGTGCATGTGGATGTATGCGTAGAGGCGTGTGCGTGTGCGTGTGTGTGTGGATGTGTGCGTAGAGGCGTGTGTGTGTGTGTTCTCAGTGGTGTTTAATGCCCTCTACCGGGCTGTTTGCTCACCAACAACACGAGTGCGTGTTCATGCGTGCCACTTTGTTCCAGGTAACCACCAACGATACCTCTTCAGAGCGACGTCACCACAGGAGGCGGCGGACTGGGTGGCGAGAATCAAGTCAGTGCACACACACACACACACACACACACACACACACACACACACACACACACACACACACACACACACACACACACACACACACACACACACACACACACACACACACACATGTCTTACTCCCCCCCCCACACACACACTCACTCACGTGGCTGCTGTGTGTTTTTGTGCCATTTTGCGTTGCAGTGGAAGCAACGACATGTTCTCAATGCTGCAGCACAAGATTGGAGCCAAACGCGCAACGCACGACGACTCATACGAGCTCTCGGATTCAACCATGTTCGACACCTCCCAAGATGACAGCATGTTTGTCATCCCCATTCCCGGGAAGTCGCAGTCTGCACCGCCCAGCGCCACACGCACGCGCTCCGTTGCCGCTGCCATCGAACGCAGGCTGAGTGCAAGCACATCAATGGAGCAACGCAGCGAAAGCAGCAGCAGCATCGGCACCAACATCAGCATCAGCAGTCGTGGCCCGGGCGACTTTGCAGGTACAAACGCACGCCCGGGGCGACCGTCATTTGGCGGTCGGGCGGCCTCCATATTGGAGGAGATGGAGGAAGTGGATGAAGAAGCAATGGACCGAAGTGGTGACGACAGCGATCATGGAGGCGATGAAGAGACAACCGTGTAACACATCGCATACCTTGGCTATTTGCCCACTGCCCTTCGTCCCGTCCACTTTGAACGACAGAAAATGTCCCGCCCCTCCCCGCCAACGTGTTTGGTTATTGTACATACCCGCCTTCGTAATGGAACCACTCTCTTTGTGCGTCTGTGCGTTTGCCTGCGCGTACGTGCTCGTTGCATTTCTTGCCGTCCGCCTGTCTGTCTGTCTGTCCGCCCCCGTCTCTCTCTCTCTCTCGTGCCGCATCGTACAAGGCCCACGTGAGTACATGCCAACATGCATTACAAACTGTTCACTCAGGTGTGGTGAGAAACCAAGACTCACCACCAACACACAACACAGCGAACGTGCGAGCGAGGCTACGAAAGAAAGCAAAGAAAAGCGCGACAGGTAGGAAAGTTAACACGCGTCAGCATACACGCACACAAGGATGCTCACAAGCAGTCAAATGTACACCAAGTGACAACCACCCATCAATCTGCAAGTGAGCTGGGCAAAAGGTCAACGAAACGAAACGAATTGTGCGCTCACAGACACACGACGCACACGCAATGCACAGAGGGTATGGATAACAACGCACACATGCGCCGTGCTGCACAACAAGGCCTTGCGCAAGCGTGGCAAAAAGACATACATACGTACATAACACAGAGCGTACACACACACAGCGAGGAGTGTCTTTCTGGGACATGGCAAAATACAAACACTCACACATTCACGATGGAAGCCAAGTGCCCTTTGCATCATCAACGATAACAAGCACAAAACCAGCAGACAAAAGCGGCGAGTGGGAGAGACCACCATCATACTTAACTCGAGGCATGGGGTGTTGCAGGGCAACAGAGCGAAAAAAGAAGGGAGGGAGGGAGGGCAGGAACCCACACACACCCACACGCGTTGGCGTGGGGATGAGGAGAAAGCTGATGTGAAGCGATGAAGGGAGAAAATAGTGCGTAACGGCCTCGGAAATACGGCTCACACCAGCTTGTGGCGAACAGCACACCTGCTCTGCATAAACAATGAGTACGCGCACGCGCAAGTCACCAATGAAACCAGCAAACCCACACACGTCAGCGTATGGCTATTGTCGTGGTGGTGGCTGCTGTTGCCGTTGCTGCTGCTGTTGCCGTTGCTGCTGCTGTGATGCATCTCGTGGAGAAATGAGTGGTGCAATGTTGGCTGCAGACATTCCACGCTGACCGCCATTTGTCTGTTGGCCTTGTTGCTGCTGTTGCTGTGGCGGGATCAGGGGCATAACTTGACGCTGCTGGTGTTGCTGCTGGTGTTGTTGCTGCGGTGGTGGTTGTGGCTGCTGCTGCTGCGCCTGGAAAGCCAGCAGCGGTTGAACACAAACAAGACCACAAGCCAGGCGACCCACAATTCAATTACGTGAGCAAAGTCAAGTGAAAGAAGAGCAATAGCAGGGGTGTAATAATCCACAAATCAACAACACAAACGAAGAGCTTCAGCAACGGACAACAGCACAACAAACGCCTTCTGCAAAAGCAATCCACCACACCTGCTTTGACTGCGCCTCAAGGCGTCTGAGAATGTGCATCACCCTCAAGCGTTCCTCTGGCGGTAGCGCCTGCACCATCTGTGCACGCTGCTGTGGCGGTGACAGCATCACCTGCGTCACAAACTTGCGCAGTTGGTCGAAGTTCTGCGTCTTCCCAGTCTGCTGTGGGTGCCAAGTACACAATGCCGACGGTGGCGCACGCACAATCATCACGTCAGGAACACAAAGACATGGGAAACAACGCACACACACACATGTATCAACCGCCTCCGCTTCACGCAGACGCACACCGCGCGAACACACACATAAACAAAACCACACACATATACACCACACACAACCAACCAACCAACCAACCATAGCATTTGTTGCTGACACTCACCAGTTGGTGTTGTTGCAAGACACGCTGTAGCTGCTGCGCAGACGGTGCTGACCCCGGTGGCACGGCCCCCACGCCAACACCAGGCGCACGCTGCGGCTGCTGTGGTGGTGGCATTTTGCCACTGCTGCTCGCCTGCGGTACAGGCGGTGCTGTACTCGACGCCAGCGACGACGATGGCGCTGATGACAACGAAGGACGAGGCACCTGCAAGCCCCCTGCAGCTGTGTCTTGCTGCTGCTGCTGCTGTTGCGCGCGCTTTCGCCTGTCCTGTTCTGCCATGCGTGCAGCAATTGGCCGCACGTGTTCCGGCAACACCTTCAGGTCCACGCGCAGCAGCAGGCCGCGTCGATGTTCATCCATCTCACGCAGCTTGTCCCCCACGCGCTTAAACTTGTCCGAGAGCTCTGCCGTCACCCCTTGCGAGCCCATTTGCTTGTACAGCATGTGCATCGCCTGTCGCAGCTTGTCCACGTGCTGCGTGACTTGCATGTAGTTTGACTGCTCCTTCGGCGACAGCGCCTGGAACGCACAGCGGATGAACTCGCGCTGCTGCTGCTTCAACGCAGAGTCAACCTGCCGCTGCTGCCCGCCAGAGGAGGAGGACGACGACGATGACAGAGGCATAGGCGGCATGCTTGGTATTCGCTGCGGCTGCTGTGTTGCTGCAGACTGCCCTGCTGTGGATGATGACGACGACGACGCTGCCGGCCCCATCGACATCCCGTTGGACGCATTTGCACGCACAAGCGGTTCCACTTTACTAGGCGGGTTACTCCTTGCTGCTGCTGCTGATGATGATGATGGTGTTGTCGATGCTGATGACGCAGCCGCTGGGTTGCCTGCAAAGGCAGCAGAGGAGCTGCGACGCGAGGCCATTGCGGGCGCAGCGGCACTCGACTGCCGCGACAAGTCCGAGTTGCCGGCTTGTTGTGCAAAACGGCGGTTCTGAGCAAAGAGGGCGGAGGGATGGTGTGAGAGAGAGGAGAGATATTGGGGGGGGGGGCAGGGTGAGCTATGGTGATGGAAACAGGCAGAGGCGCGCAGCTTCAGATCGACACGTTAAGAAAGGAGGGGCAGGGGGGGGGGGGGAGAAGACAACTGCGTGCACAGCAACAAAGCAAAACCGCGCATGCTCCGCACAGTAAAGGACATTTTAGACAGACAGACAGACAGACAGACAGACAGCCAGACAGACAGACACACACACACACAGACAGACAGACAGACAGACAGACAGACGCGCACACACCCACACACACCTGTGAGGCCTGTGCGGCGCGTGCAGCCCGCTGCCGGCGCTTGAGCTGCTCAGCAACGGCGGCCTTGTAGCGCGAGCACTGGGGCATCGGGCACGGGTCCTCACGGCAGTGGCTGGCGTGGTAGCGAAGAATGGTCCAGTAGGTGCGGCAGTGCTTGCACTCACGGTAGTGGCGGCGGCACGTGTTTGCGTGTTGCAGGTAGCGCTTGAGGATGGAGCACTGCTTCACCTGGCAATTGGCGTCTGTGCACACGTTCGCGTGGGTGAGCAAGCTGGCAGCCTGCTGGAACGCACGCGTTGTGCTGGTTGTGTTGTCCACAATGACGCCCACTTGCTCCATCTTGTGCTCGTGGCCCTGCGACTCGTAGCAGCTCTTGCACAAATCGTAATCCTCGCACCCACCCACGCAGTGGTAGCGCGAGTCAACGGCAGAGATGCTGTGCTTGCACAGGTCGCACACATAGCCCTCAGAGTTGTCTGCAGTCGCAATGTGGTACAGCATCATCAGCGTCGAGAACTTGGCCCGGCGCTTGGAGCTGAACTCGTAGTGGTTTTCGCGGCACAGCGTGAGGAAGCTGTCGCGCCCGTCCATCAGCTCGCACTTGATCTCCGGGTTGGGGTCGTGTGGCATTGGCGGCTGGCGGTGGTCAACGTGGTGGCGGGAGCAAGCGCACATGTGGGTGCGTGTGAGGTTTTGATCACATGAGCAATAATACACACTGGCCAAGCAAGGAAAGAAAGAAAGAGGGAGAGAAAGAAGGAGAGAAAGGAGAGAAAGGAGAGAAAGGAGAGAAAGGAGAGAAAGGAGAGAAAGAAAGAAACCAACCAAAGGCGCTTTTGGGGGAGCATAACCAAGGCAAAAATGACGAGCGCACGTGTGTGCGCACACAAACACCCACACTCACGCTCACACGCGAACATAAACACCCACCCACGTAACCGAAAATACACACGCACACGCACACACACACACATACGTAAGCAAACACATACACAGAGAGCCAACGCACCGGGTTCTTTGTGTTTGCGACGAGTTTGATGGCGAAGAAGACGTCCTTGTGGCGCTGCACATCCAAATATGCGCGATCAGCAAGCTCCTCATCCCACTTTCCGGCGCGCACCTTCTTGTTCACCTTCTTGGTTGCCTTTGCCTTTGCCTTTGCCTTCTTGCTCTTGCTCTGCTTGGAGCCCTTCTTGCCCTTGCCGCCTGCCGCTGCCTCTTCCTCCTCGTCCTTGTTGATCTCCTGCACAATCTGCTCCAGCTGGTTGGGCCAAAAATCGCCGTCAAAGTAGGGCAGCTGGCGCGCTTCGCTCAGGCGCTCGCTGTCCACGTACTGCTGCAGGTCGCACCAGTCCTGGATCACTCCGCGCTCCTTGGCCTTGATCAGCATGTCCCGGTACCACGCCTGCAGCCGTTTCGACGTCGGCACGCGCTGGTTTGGCGGGTGGCAGTGGAACATGTAGTCGTCGCCGGGGCTTGGTGGGCACGCCCAGATGTGGGCATGCAGGAAGCCGAGCTTGGCCACGTAGTACAGGTAGCCAATGAGCAGCTCGTGGTACACCGTGGTGCGGTAGGACTTTGGTTCAAAGAGGTTCACAGAGTCGAGGTAGCTGATGTACACGCGCCGCCTGTTTGGCTCCGGGCAGTCCTCCCCGTACTCCTGCACATGAAGGCTGCATTGAAAGCACAACAGAGCAGGTTAGGTAGCCAGTTGAACGAGACAATGCACAGGGAAATGGCAGTGCAAGCTCAAACAGGCACGTTCATACAGACACAAACAAACAAACAAACAAACAGCACCACACAAACAAGCAACACAAACAAACAAGCAAACAAACACACCCGAAGAAGCAGAGGTCGCGGCCGCCGTCGATGCGCTGGAAGACAAAGAGCGCCTTTGATTTGTACGGAAACGACTCTGGGAACGGACTGTCGCGCTGCTTGTAGTACTGGCTGATGCCCTCCTTCGCCTCAAACGACTTGCTGCGAACAGAGACAACGCGCACGAGCACATCCTTAGCCACGGGGTCGTCGCGCAGCGCCCCGCGCACACGGTCCTCAAGGTACTTGGACAGGTGCGTTGTCGGAAGGCCTGCGGTCGCACATTGGCAGCGGAGAAGGGGGATGAACGAGCACATCGTGAGCATGGGGAGCAAGTGAACGAGGGTGCTGGTGACAAGGCAAATTGTTGCAGAACGCAGGAGCCAAGACACCCCTTGCAGGCGCACAAAAGTTACATGCAAACACAGACAGACAGACAGGCACAGAGGCAAAGACACACACACACACACACACACACGCACAATCACAGACAGACAGACAGGCACAGAGGCAAAGACACCCAGACACGCACACACACACACACACACAACGCACATAGAGCACAGGAAAGCATTCAAAACGCACTTTCTGCGGTGTGTGGGACGCGTGGTGGCGGGTACTGCAGTGCCTCGCGACAGTGGGAACAGACAAACGGCTGATTGAAGTGCTCGTGATAGAGCTCGCAAATCTGGTGCTGCCGTCGCTTGCACACGTGGCACTCAATCAACTTCTCATACTCCAGCTCGTTGTTCACCTTCTCCTCAAACTGGCTGCGCTCCACAGGCACCCTGAACAGACGCACATGCACAAGCACACAAGCATACACAGAGCAAGCACAACAGGCAGCACAAAGGCAACGACATATGACAGAGGCGTGTCAGTCAGATGGGGTGAAGTAACACCCAAAGAGCAAGCTCTTGCAGGCGTGCACCATTGGAAAGAAAACAGCGAGGGGTCGCCTGCATGCATGCGATATGCACATTGGCACAACCTTGCACGCGATCGACAAGTAGAGCAACCCAAACAACGTCAAGACAGCACGCAGCGTACGCAGCCACAGCACCACCATCACAACGTACTCTTGTCCATTCTCGTCGGTGATCTTGACAGGGCCCGTAGGCAGCTTCTTCCAGCACTTGGGGCAGTAGTTGACAATGAGCGTGGAGGTGCGATAGCTCATGTACTTGCTCTCGCGCGGGATTGTGCACAGGTTCTTGCCATTGCAGTACAGCGTGGGCGGGTTGAAGACAAGTTCTTGCCCGCAGCAGAACCCCATGCGTTTCATGATCGGCTCAATCTCCGCGTTCCACAGGTTAAACAGCTGTGCACAGTTGTGTGTGTGTGTGCGCACGTCAAGGAGATTGCAGCGTGAGACCAAGGCGAAGAGGACGGGAGAGGGTGGAGGACAGCTGAAACATGCGTGCTTAAGAATGTATTCAGGTGACGCACCAACGCACAAACAAAGGCACACATCGAGCAACAGTCAAAGGCAAACACACACACAGACAGACAGACAGACAGACAGACACGCACCGTTTTCGCCATCTTGCCAACAATGGACTTTTCGCCATTGTAGGTGAACGCGTTTCTGAACATGAGTCGCATATCATCGCAGTACTGGCAGGAGCCAAAGATGCATGCAGCGGCCATGTGATCATGTGAGTGCGTGGATGTGCGCTGGACAGAGCATCTGAAACCTGTCATTAACGACACCCGACCACCATCTTCACAACACCACCCCGCCCCTTCATCAACCCCTGCCTTAGCTCAAGCATGCCATGTACACAGGCACCCACACAGACACACAGACACACAGACAGACAGACAGACACACACACAGATAAACACACACAGACACACAGACACACAAACAGACACACACACACACACACACACCTCCCAAGGGTCCTTGTAGTCGCCGGCCTTGAGCTTCTTGCCGATGGTGCCCAGGTCCATCGGTTGCTTGATAATGTCGTAGTAGTCTGAGCAGTTGAGCGCAACCGTGTCCACGGGTTCGAGGAATGGGTGGCTGTCCTCGTGGCTGCGAATTTTCTCGTGCAGCGGCCAAAAGTGGTGCAGCAGCTCTTCCCGGTCCCACTTCTTTGGCTTTGGCACGAGCTTGTGTGCACTCCCCGTCGGCGTGCGGCTTGCCTGTGCCTTCTGCAGTTGGTAGATGCGCTGTGCAAGCATCTCAAAGTACTCCTTCTGCGTCTGCGACTTGTGGAAGGCCTGGTCCTCAATCTTGGCGCCCAGGCTCTTGATGCGGTCCTGTGTGCCCGCCTTCTCCTCGGGACTCACACACTTGCTGCAAAGGGGTGAAGCGGCACGCAAGCAGCGGCAGTCAAGCAGTGAGATTGCGAGCCAGCGAGCACAGCGGCGTCGTGGAGCACCACCCGCAAACATTGCGCGCACATATAAGCAAGCAAAAAGAGCAAACCAAGTCACGAAACGCATGCCCACCATCACAACGACCACGATCACATGATTGGAACCAGCAGCACGCGCGTACCTGAGTGCAGCAATGACCTTCTCCCTGAGCTTGATCCTGAGGGACTTGACGTCTTTCAATGCCGCCCGCCAGTCCTGCGCAGCGCCCCCACTTCCTCCATTGCCACCACCTCCTCTGCTGCTACTGCTCGTGTTGGGTGCGGGAGGTGGCGGTGGCATGGACGATGATGAGGATGACGGTGGTCGCGCGCTTGCCGCTGCGCTCACAGCGGGCTTGGCATCCGCACTGCTGGCGTTGAGGTTGGCGCCCTGTTGCGGGTGGGCGAGCGGCTCAGACTTGGGGACAGGTCCTGGCCCCTGCAATGGCTGCGGCTGTGAGGACGGCTGCTGGCGCTGCGGGAAGCCTTGACCGCCCATCTTCTGGTTCTTGGCAGCAGCGCGCATCGCCGCCAGCTTCTTGGCGTGCACTGAAAAACGCGCAGGCAAGATAAGGGTAGGGAGGGGGAGGTAAGTGATGCAAGCGCACACTTGATCGAAAAGCAGAGAGTGGAAGGAAACAGGGAGAACCAGAAGCAGCAGCAACGAGTAACGACAGACACGCACAGACACAGACACAGACACACAGAAGGCTCGACACCGGAAGGATGCAATCCCATGCGGTGCGACAACAAACCATCTCTGATTGGTCGGCAGTAGGGGCACTTTGGGTTTGAGCATGAGCTGTAGTGCGCAAGCAGCTGCTTCGATGATCCGCAATGTGGATCTGGTCACAAGACACACGGCAGTGGTGGTTGTGGTGGCAGAGGGCACGTGAGCAGACACGTGTCAGCAGATGGTGTATGATGTGTGTGTGTGTGTGTGAGGCTACGCACTCTTGCGCGTGTGTGTGTGTGTGTGCGTGCGTGCATGCGTGCGTTTGTTTGCGTGTCTGTACATGTGTGTGTCGTTGGGAAAACAGCACTTACAAGGGCACGACTTGTTCTTCTGACAGGAAGCCATGTGCTTCAGCACGCGCTTCATGTCGCCGCAAAACTTGACTTGGCACTGCGCATGAATGTGCGCGCATTTGAGAAATGGTGCGTGTGCGTGCGTGTGCGTGTGCGTGCGTGTGTGATGAGGGTGAGCGGGAAAGAATGAAGGAAAGCTCATCTCGTGATACTTCATGTCACGCAAACTACCAAAAACAACAACAACAACAACACCAGCAACAACACCACCAACGACGACAACAACCCACACAAAAAAAAAAAAAAAACCAAGATTACTGAGGGAGGGCAAAGCAAATGGAGGCGCACGACGTACGTTTGGGTTGCGACATCGGTATGCATGAAGAAGCAGCGTCAGCTGCCGATGAATCACGGGGATTTTCTGCACAGCACCAGCAAAGCAACCGCGTGTGAGATTGGATTGTGGCGTGTGTAGGATGCAGAAAAAGCATGTGGCCGACTTGTGTGTTTTGTTGCGGCTTGCGAACCATGCAAGCGTACGGAGCAGTGTGCGCCAAGCGCTTGACACAAGATCAGCACATTAAACACCAAACGCACACATGCGTGTGCGCTGTGCAGGGCATATGCATGGTCTTGTGCACGTGCACTTGCCTGTGCGGCAGAGGCGCGGGCCTGCGCATCAGCGGACGGGGCACCCCCAGGCGCTGTCGCTGCTGTTGTCGACGGCATGTACGGGGAAGCCCCACCATGACCGTTGGGCAACGACTGCGGTTGTGGCGGCGGTGGCGGTGGGGGCATTCGCATCTGAGCGGAAGAGGTCGACATTGACGGAGACGAGCCCTGCTTCAGTGGCGGCAACACACACGAAAGAAACACAGCGAGAAATTATTCAAGTGGAACGCGAGGGCAGCATCTGGGCGACACAAAATAATGCACACACACTTTCGCACACAAACACAAATACATACACACACACACATACATACACACACACGTACGTACGTGCGTGCGTGCATCTCAGCCTTCACCAAACAGAGCCAGTACATCACGAACAGGGAAACGTACCGGCAAAGGCTGCCCCTGCGCATATGGCTGCTGTTGGCCCTGGTTGTATGAAAACGGAAAGGACGATGATGGAGAGAGGACGCCTGTTGGGGACAGCATCGCATTGGCCTGGGGTGACGGTGCCGGCTGCATGTACGCCGACGACTGCAGCGACGTCGACGGTGTGGACGACGACGACCCCATTGCTGTCGTTGATGTCGCGGTTGTCGATTGCACCCCCTGCTGCTGCTGCTGCATGTATGGCGAGGAGGTGGGTATGGACGACCGGTATGCGGACGAGGTGGCGGTCGACGATACAGGGGCAGTTGAAGCAGCGCTTGATGCGGCCATGCTTGGCATCGCCAACGGCTGCAACCTTGGCGCTGTTGTTGATACCGACGATGACGATGACGACGATGGAACCGGCACGCTGCCCATGGTGCTTATCATTGGGGCCTGTTGCGATGTGCTGCTGGCAACACTGGTTGTCGTTGCATACGACCGTGGCTGCTGCTGCTGCTGCTGCTGCTGTTGGTGTTGCTGCTGTTGGTGGTAAGGCGACGGCGCCTGCGCATACGACACCGGGGCCGTGGACGACTGTGGCCATGATGATGATGATGACGACTGCGGCCACGATGATGATGATGATGACGATGGTGCTGATGAGTAGGATGGAACACCAGTTGTGACCGCTGGCGCTGTGGGCCCACCCTGGCTGTACACCACGCCTGACGACGAATACGGAGTGGTAGCGGGCGCGCTCGTGGATGTGATCATCGGCTGCGTCGCCACCGTCGTTGTCGTCGTCGCTGTGGACGCGTACGCACCCGTGCTTACGGGCGCAGACGACACATACCCCTGCTGTTGCGGCTGCTGTTGTTGGTATTGCTGCTGTTGGTACGGGGGTGCACCAGAGTGGGAAATGACGGGCACGGTTGCAGCCGCAGTCATGGCGGTGGTGGTGGTGGTGGGTGGGGCTGTGGATGCATACGGTGTCGGCGCGGGTCCTGTTGTTGTCGTTGTCGTCGTTGTTGTCGTTAGCGGCGCACCGGCGCTTACTGGGGCTGTGGTTGCATACGCCAGCGATGTGTGCGGCGGTGCAGTGGTTGACACGGGGCCATTGCCCATTGCGGAGCCCGACGAACCATAAGGTGTCGACGCTGGTACTGTTGTTGTTGTTGTTGCTGTTGTTGTTGCTGTTGTTGTTGGAGGTGGTGCGCTTGAGGCGGGTGCTGCCGTGCTGTAGAAACTGGACTGCGACGATGTTGGTGCAGCTGCTGATGACGACGATGCTGGCGGCTGCGAAGCAGCAGATGCGCTCGGCAGTTGTATGAGCGGTGCCGAAGACGCCATCGCCTGCAGCGGCGTGGAAGTGGTGGATGTTGTTGGGGTCGTTGATGATGATGGCATGGCTGCGCCTGTTGTTGATGAGGAGGGTTGTGCCTGTGACGTTGCGGTCGCTGCCTGCAAGGCTGGCGTGCGTGGCTGTGACGGCGGCGAGACGGAGGTGTCGCTCGTTGTCGTGCCGGCCGCTGCACTTGATGCCGTCGTGGCGGGTGCAGTGGTGGTGGCTGTAGAGGTGGATGTGCTGCCATTGGCTGTGCCAACACTGGTGGAGGCTGGTAACGATGTGGGCGTCAGCAGCGGCTGCTGTTGGTCACTGGCGACGGACGACGACGACGATGACGCAACCTGGGGTGGTGCAGCTGTACTCATGCCATTGTTGTTGTTGGTGGTGGTGGTTGAGGTGAGCACAACGCCAACGGGGGTGTTTCCGTTGACGTTTGTTGCTGGCGAGAGGCCCGGTGTTGCTGACTGTGAGAGCGGCGCTGCTGTGTCCGAGCCAAGCTTCGGCCGCTTTGCAACCTGCTCACCATCGTCCCCCGCAGCACCGCCTGCAACCGCACGCACGAGGCAAGACAAAAGAGTGGGCGGGCAGGGAACAGAGATTGGGTGATGGTGGATGTCAAACGGTGAGAGTTGCGCACATGCGTGAGCGCGCCGACAATGACATTGTGTAAGTGTGTGTGAGTGCACATTGTAAGTGTGCCCAATTGTGTGTGTGTGAGCGTGCGTACAAGAAAAGGACGCACAAACTCTCGCAACATTGCAGGCACCTCGTGTTCGTGTGTGTGTGTGTGTGTGATTGTGTATACCTTGGGTTGAAGGATTCATGCTTTAGAACAGGGGCTGCAAGGCTGTTGCCGCCAAAGGCCCACTGGCGATGGCAGGGTACTCGGTGACGATGTTGCTCGCAGGTCGAAGAAAGCGGCGGCTGTTGCTGCTACTACTGCTGCACATCACCGACGAAAAGCGACAGCACACAAGCTCACGCACGCACGAACACACGCGTGCGCACAAGCGGTGGTGGTGTGTGGGACCTGTCTCTCTGCAAAGGGGCGATTGTGGTGGGGGGGGGGAGGTGTTGATGTGTTAGATTTGGTAGGGGTGGGGAGGGGTAAGGAGAAAGTCCAGTGAACGTTGGTATGCAGGCATGCGTGTGGATATGCGTGTGCGTGCGTGTGTGTGTGAATTGTGTGTGCATTGTGTGTGTGCATATGTGCTTGTATCTGTATGCGTGCGTGTGTGCACACACATTCTGGGACATACAATGTTGCGCTGACGCGCATACACAGAGCTGTGCATTAGAACAAACGCATGTGGCTTAATCCACGCTTCAACTCAACAACATGTATGTGATACAGAAGAAGAGGAACGTGTGGGTGGATCAAATGCGGGGGCGAACGTGCACATTCAATTACAACTGCTGTCCGCGCATGGCGGCAGCGCCTACCTGTTGTTGTACGGCGCGGAGTGTTGGGGTGTGGGTGGATTCTGTGGAAAGCAAACACGGTGATGGGCGCAAACGGAAGCGCAGCACAGGCACAAGTAGGGAAAGCGGTGACATGTGAACAAATGCTTGCTGTGCGAACGCGCGTTGACATATGTGTGGTGAGCGAACTGTTGTGTGGGTGCAGATAATGAGCGGTCAGAGCAATGCAAAGAAAAGGTGGAGCTTGGTAATCCCCATTCATGTGCTTGCTGGGCGCGCCTCACTAACAAACCTTTGGTGTTGTTGGGGTAGATGTTGGCTATCTGGTTGCGGCTGGTGGAGAACCAACAGCGGAGCGCAGCGCGTAACAGAAAGAAGGACGGGATGTGATGGGCCGTGGTGGTGATTGGTGAATAGTTAGCGTCAACCCACACACAGCGTTGAAAACACCAAATGCGGGAGCCAGTGGCCAAACAATACCACACACAAAACAAGCAGGGTGTACCCCAACGGTCACACGTGAACAATCACAGCAAGGTGCGCACACATGGACGAACAACGTTGGTCACAAGCAAAAGCAAAGCAGAGGGGAAAAAAAGAGAATAAGGTGAGTTTGTTTGCTTGGGGGTGTCAAGGAAAACAGGTGCAAGTTCTCTCACATGCGCCTTGTTCACCGTTGTGTGGGTTGTTGGTGTTGGAGTCATGCCAACAATCACACACGCACATGTGTCACACCTTCTCCGGTCACCCCCCATACGAAGCAACGCGCGGTTGCTTTCCCTCCTTTCCTTACCCTTTTTCCTCCTTGTTTCCTCTCGTTGTTGGTGTGTGTTGTTGTGTGTGTCTTTTTGCTTGTGCCTTGTGGCGGTTGTAGAAATTCTGTCGATGTTTCCCCAGATATGGCGCGACCAATTCCCCAACCACTTCTGGCTGCAAATTGCAGACACAGCCACGCAATTTGCAACGGCTTCTGCTTCTGCTGCTGTGTGTTTGTGTGTGTGTGTGTGTGCTGTGTGCTGGTGTGTGTGTGTGTGTGTGTGTGTGTGTGTGCTGGTGTGTGTGTGCTGGTGTGTGTGTGTGCATGTTTGAATCTCTCTTCTCTCTCTCTCTGTCTTTCTGTGGAGAAAGAACCACTGGCTGGGAGGACAATCAAAACATCTTCCAGGAACCTTCCAGGGACAACCCAAGCCCACACGATATAATACAGCAAGAGGTAAAGCAACCAAGCTACGCACACCACACACACGCATAGACAGACAGGCAGACACACACACACACACACACACATACACACACACACACACACAAACACAGCGACAGCCTATGGCAACCAAAGAAGAAGGAATCAAAATGTCACATGAACAAAAGTGGGCGCAGTGAACAAGGCGAGGGCAAGATACAAACAGATGCAGATAAGAGTGGCGGGAGGGGGAGCAGACAGGTGGGGAAGGTCGGAAGGCAGGAAGGCAGGAAGTAGGAAGACAGGAGGGAGGCAAAGAAAGAAAGGAAGAAAGACAGCAACAAAAGACAGATGAAGGAGAGCAGCTATCGTGGGCAATCAAATGGGGAGGGGGGCAGCCGCAGTACTGCAACATGTGGGCACTGAAGTTCCAACTCCCATACAAAGTGCAAAGGAGGGGGGAGAGGAAGGGGTTGCAGTTAAACGGCCGACATGGTTGGGGGTTGGATTGGATTCAGATGGTAACAGAGCAACGCGTGGTGGGAGTAGGGGGAAAGACGTCGCTGTAGACAGGAGCGGTGCGGTGCAAAGGAGGGAGTGAAGGAAGGAGAGTGGGTACATTGGTCGATGGTGCTTGTAGAAGCATGTGCGTGCCTGTGTGTACGTGTGCACGCGTGTGTACGCGTGTATGTGTTAGCGAGTGCGTGGACAACACCAATAAGAACAACAGGAAAAAACCCCCTACAACAGTCGAGATAACACAGGAACAACAATGAAAAGTCACCAACCGAGATAACAACAACAACCACAAGAAAGAACAACAACAACCACAAGAAAGAACAACAAATAAAACAACAACAACAACAACAACGACGACGACGACGACGACAACAACAACAACAACAACAACAACAACAACAACAACAACAACAACAACAACAACAACAACAACAACAACAACAACAACAACAACAACAACAACAACAACAACACCACAATCAAGGAAGAACACTCTCTCAGAGCTTCAGAGTAGTAGTCACTGCGAGGGCTCAACCACACTACGTTGCATCCATCCCAAGAGCCATCATCCACACATGTTGTGCTGCTGTGCTCAACCAAACCACGGCGGAGCCACACGCAAAGTCACCCACGCAGGAAGGCAACATGCGCATGCTCAAGAACACGCACGTGGGAGGCAGAGCACAGCCGACACTGTGGGGAGTGTGACACGAGGAAAGGGGAACACAACGCAGTAGGGAGCACCAACCGCTCATACCTTTTACGTTTACCATCACTGAGAGCCTCCTTCATTTCAACACACACACACAGACACAGACAGACACAGACAGACACAGACAGACACACATAGGGCGTGTATCGTACCTGCGTGATTTTAAGCCGTTGTGTTGTTTTACACAACAGCAACGACGACGCGACGTGGCGGGGGTCCACTGTGTTCCTTGAGCTTGCTTGGGTCAACATCCGGCACGGTCTCATCGACGGGAAGCGAGGACGTGGTTGACGAGTGTCGTCGTCGGCTCTGACGTGAGGGTGTTGCATGGCGCGTGTGTCTGATGGAAGAAGCATTGCTGCGATTGTGATTGGGGTTGGTGCTGGTGTTGTGTTGTTGTTGCACTGGGGGCGATGTTGCTGCTCGATGGCCGTTCATGGCGGTGGTTGTTTGCTCCGGAGCTTGTTGCCCGTGTGGTTGCCTGTGCTGCTCCTGCTGTGCTTGTGCTTGTCGCTGTTGTGGTTGCTGTCGCTGTTGCTGTTGTGGTTGCTGTTGTACCTGTCGCTGTGCTGGCGTGTCAACACCACCACTACCACCACCAGCAGCAGCGCTGTTGTTGGTCTCGTGGTACTGCCCTTCAGCGTGTTTTCCCTTGTCCTCACAGCCGCAGCAGGTGTTGCCCATATCGAGTGTTGTTGCCGTGGTGAGAAAAATCCATGATATCATTTACAAACCGTCCACAACCAGCAGCACAAGCACAACAACAGCGACAACAGAGCGAAGAAGGAAGCAACCATTGAACAGACCAACTTCACAGTCGCCAAACCATGACATCGTGTGGGTCTGGGACTGGCGTGTGTGTTGATGCGCTGGTGGTGTCTGTGGCACCGCACACGAGGTCCCAGCTGCTGGTTCCAGCGCGTATTCGGGCGAAATTCGACGCATGTGGCCTGGCGTCCGTTGTGGCCCGCGCTAAGGCGGTCGCGACGACTCAAGATGCGTTTCCGCAGGAGCAGCAGGCGTCAGCGCGCAGCAGCGCAGATGATGGCGGCGTCAGAGACACGAGCGAAGCAGCGCCGCACAGCAGAGGGCATGGCGGGGTGCCACCTCGTTCACTGCAACGACAGGAACAATGCCGGCGCCCACGAGAACAGGTGGAGGAACAAGAAGGGCAACAACGGCGCGCAGAAGAACAGCAACTTCAAACAGCACATCCAACCCAGCAGCCGGCACAGACAGCGGAGCAGGCAGTAATGCAGCCATCCCCGCCATCCATTCAACCCACACAGCAGCAGCAAACGCAGCCACATTTGTTCACGCCTACGCCACAACCCGAGCCAATGCTGCAACCACAGCAACCACCACCACCACCACCACAGCAGCAGCAGCAGCAGCAGCAACAGCAGCAGCATGAAGCAGTACAACAGTCCTCGAACACAACCCAGGCGAGAGCGCCTTCGCTGCAACACGGGCGGGCTTCTCTGTTGTTTACGGCTGTGCCAACCTTGTATCCGGCAGTACAGAGGATCAACCGCTCTTCCCCCACTGAGGCGGCCCAAACAGCCCAGCAAGTGGAGCCCCGCCCAGGTGCTGTTGGCAGAGATGGCCCGCCTGTGCATGCAGGCAAGCGCCGCCAACCCTCAACGGCCTCATTAGCTCCCAAGCGCGCGAACCTGCGCCGGCGTGATGGCGTCGCCAGTCCTCGTGAAGACGATTTGGATGGTGACGATGGTGGTGGTGATGAGGATCGCGATGGTGATGATCCTCCTGCTGCTGCTGATAATGATGATCAAGAAGAAGAAGAAGAAGATGATGATGATGATGGTAGTGGTGATGGTGATGATCGTGACAACAGCGACGGTGTTGGCGAGGGACACGGCGAAGAAAGTGCTGCGGAGCAGCGTGGTGCGGGCCAAGTGGCGACAACAGGTGCTCATGCACACGCAGGATCTGCTTCCAGCACGCGCCATGCCACCAAGCGGCCGGTTGTTGCCAAGCTGGATGACTCACTTCTTCGGTGTGAAGGCGTTCCAGTTGGCTTTGAGGATGAGTTGTTTGTGTACAACTTGCCAGACACGATTGATTTGCACGTTGTTCAGCATGCCCTGGCTCATCCTCCCAATCGAATTCGCCAGGTATGTATGTGCATGTTTCGTGTGAATGTGTATGTGCACGCTAGCATTGTCACCGCCTGTTTGTTCCATCGTGTGCTTTTTCACCGCCTGCTTGTTCCATGCTGTGCTCGCTGGCTGGCCTTTCCGTGCTTGGTGTCCAGCCTTGGTTTGTGGTGATCATTGCGCACTGTCACTGTGCTGTTATTTTGGCACTCATCTTCAAACAAATGCTTCTCAACACTTCAATGCAGCCCACCAGCGTCGGTCGCATCGAGCGCTTCGTGTCGCCATCGCCATCATCATCATCGTCACCATCATCGTCATCAGCGTATGCGCTGAGGCCGTCAGAGCTGCTCATCACGTTTGCCATCTTCCACCCAAAGCGCAACTACTTGCAACAATTGCTTGTATTCACTGGCAATCAAACCCTCGCCGACCTCAGCAATGCCGTACGTGCATGTGTGAGTGTGAGTGTGAGTGTGAGTGTGCGTGTGAGTGTGAGTGTGAGTGTGAGTGTGCGTGTGCGTGTGCGTGTGAGTTTGAGTGTGCGTGTGAGTTTGAGTGTGTGAGTGTGTGTGTATGCTTGTGCGTGTGTGTTTTTGGTTTTGACTCAAGCATCATTGGGGTTTTGTGTGCCATGCGCAAACCACGCCGCCGTTGAACTCACAGCCCTTGTTGTGTTCTTGTTGGCAGATTGACTGCTGGACCTCTCGCGTTCCGGACACCCCAGCCATTACGCAGCACGCTTTTTTCTATATCGAAGGCACCTTCTTCAACGGTGTGCCTCCGTGTGTGTGTGTGTGTGTGTGTGTGTGTGTGTGTGTGTGTGTGTGTGTGTGTGTGTGTGTGTGTGTGTGTGTGTGTGTGTGTGTGTGTGTGTGTTACGATCATGCCTTGGATGGGGATAATCCAAGAGCGCACGCCGATGTTGTCGCACACGTTGTCTCACTTGCGCCTTGGTTCCATGCACGGTTTTGGTGATATGCACAGCGAGCGCTGGCGCCAGCGATCACATGCGTGAGTGGGCAAGGGCGAAGGTTTCGCGCCAAATCACCGCTGTCAGCGACTTTTCACACGTATGTCAACAGCCATATCAGAGCACAAGAAACGGACGAGGGCGGAGAAGAGGAGGATATCATGGTGATTTCCATCGTGGATGCAGTTCGTGATTTGCGTCCGTGAACTTATTTCTGGTCACATGCAAACAACTTGAAGCCCCATCTCTCACGCACGCACGTGCGCGCACACATTCACACATGCACAAACGGCAGGTTCTGTTGCAGGACATCAGACTTCGGCTGTTTGCGTCGTATGCATATGTGCACTGCGTGTCGTGTGAACATCGCATTGTCGTGTCGCAGATTCGCATGCGCAGCGATGCAGATCCGAACGACATGTAAGCCAAGTGCTTGTGTACGGTGGATCATGTCCCTACTACGACCCCTTCATGTCTTTTTGTTGGTGGACACTCAATGTCGATTCCAATGATGACACCCCAAGCAGTATGCCTTCCTGCACCACCATCATCACAGCATCCAAATGCGCGCGCACACACACACTCACACACACACACACTCACACACACACACACACACTCACACTCACACACACACACACTCACACTCACACACACACACACACATGCATACTCATGCGCACACACATGCATACTCATGCGCTCACACACACACACACACATGCGCAAACACCCATGTACAATCGCGCAGACGCTGCTATCCATTGACAAAGTTTCAACGACGCGCGCGGATTCGCAAATGTGCCATATGCCACATCTTTCCTGTACGTTGAGCGGTGGCTGATATGACGGTCTTGGCGATGTTTGACCGTCCCGCTGCGTTCTCGCTCTCGCTTTCTTACCCCCCCCCACACACACACACAAACAGGCGACGCGTGTGCTTGAGGACGATCCAATGGCACCAGACTCGCCCTGCCTCTTCTGCGAGCAGTGCTTCGCCTCTGCCCACCAGGGCGATAACCAACTTGCTGCTCGTCGTGTTGCGTTGCCATACTGGCACGACCCATAGTACCAAGCGTCAACACCAGCGACAACAGCAGCAACAACTCAGCTGACATTAAACCCCTTATGTTATTTGCCTCTCTCTTGCACCGGCTTCACAAGAGGGTGCGCCTCAATCTTATGTAGTCGACATTGTAATGCAATTTAATTGTAACACACCATCGTCGCTGTCGCGATACCCAACTACTCGCACTTTTTCTTCTGCTTTGGGATGCTTGCGCGACTGCCCGAGCTTAAAGCTATTGCCTACAAGTTTTATTGCGACGAGCGAAACGAGCGTCTCAGCCAACATTCACGCAACACAAACGCACGTACACACAGCCGAAGTGCCCACACACACACAGGAAGCATGTCACACAAGACACACGCGACAAACACACACAGACAGACACATGAACAGACGCACCAGCAGACAGACACACACACACACACACGCAACACGTGTACCTCCAGTCAACCAAACAACACACGCACAGCTTCGCCAGGCATTGCGCCTTTTCTGGCCAGGGGAGAAAGAGGAAAGAGAGAAGAAAGAAAGATACAAAATGGAAGAGGAAGAAAGGACAAGGGGAAATAAGATGGGCAGGAAAGGGAACAAACAAAACACAGGTGTGCACACTCAAAAATACACATGTGCACACCAGAGCACGGCAATCACAGCATGCACTGGGCCGCGGAGAAAGCAGCCCACAACAAACACACAGCCACACATGGACAAGCCAGTTAATAAAACTACAACAATTACACACCAGCACACCGAAGCCTCATGCAAAACCGCGCACGCACGCAACGCCCAGACGGAAAACCAAACAACAACAAGAACAACAAGAACAACAACAGCCACAAGACGAACAAGAACAACAAGATCAGCGTGGTGTCAGCCCAGCAGTGCATCCAAAAACCCAACAGCAGCCGAGGCCGCTCAAACAACAGAGGAGAGGGGAGAGGGGAGGGAAAGAACAAGGAAAGAGGAAACAGAAACGAGAAGAAAAGGAATCGGCGCGTGCATCGTGTTTGCGTTTGCATCTGCCACCTGACATTGTCGAAGGTTGCAACAGCAGCGGCAGAAAGGAGAAGAGAGAGAGAGAGAGGTAGGGGGAGGAGAGAGGACGGGCACACACGGCGGCGGCACATTACATCTTCGTGTAGTGGCCGTACATCCACCTGGCCGTGCTCTCAAACTTGGCGTCTCCAGACTCCTTGGCTCTCGACAAAATATGCTGCACGAGCTCCTCCGACACAACTCCCTTGATCTCGTTGCCAAATGCACGCAGACAATCACTGTGTGTGCATGTGTGCATGTGTGTGTGAGTTGCAGGGTCGCAAATGTCTACCGACAAGGTTGACGCGACAACAACAACAACAGCAACAACAACAACAGCAACAACAACAACAACAACAACAACGGCAGCAGCAGCAGCAGCCCAGCCACACAGTACGCAATTATCATTGGCCGTTCGTACCCAATGAAGCCGGCACTGACGCAGTAAACCGCATCAGAGAGCGTGGGGTCTGAGCAGATGTGCGTGATAAACTGGAGCACAAACGCAATGTCCCCGCTAATGGCCGTCAGCTCAGCTGCAGTGCACACAAACCAAGGAGCAACATAACACGGCAGCGACGATGGGCGTGATGTGAGGGACAGGGAGACATCGGCGCAAGGCTCAAGAATGTACCACTCACCACCAGGTATATCGTCACTCGATACGAAACAACTGTACAGCACGCAGGCGCATCCACCGACACCAATACGAACACGGACATCCACATGAACACACAAGCGGGCCCGCGTACGCACGCGTTGCTTTGGCGTTCTCGTCGGTCAGGGCCTGCAGAATGTTTGTGTATGTCTCCAGGATGTTTTCACGGAGCTGGTTCATAAAGGCAATGTCGTCTTCGTCGTCGCTCTCAAGGGTCGTTGCTGACTCAGACGCTGTCTTGAGCACAGGCAGCAGCATCTGCAGGTACACCACAATGTCTCGGCCAATCGCCTGTGCAAAGTCTCCAAACGTCGAAATCACCTGCGGCTTGATGCTCCGGTCAACATCAGGCACCTGCCCGTTGTTCGTTCCCACATACGATGATGACAGTATGTGAGGGTGTGCGTGTGTGTACGTGCGTGAGGGTGTGTGTGTGTGTGTGTGTGTGTGTGTGTGTGTGTGTCTCTCTCTCTCTCTCTCTGTGTGTGTGTGTGTGTGTGTGTGTGTGTGTGTGTGTGTGTGTGTGTGTGTGTCTGTCTGTCTGTGTCTGTGCATGGTGGCAAGTCTCACAGCTAAATAGGCGGGAGGCACGTACCGCGACGACCTCCATGAGAAGGCTGAGGAACTCCTGCACATACGGCTTCACTTGGTCTTGCAACGCCAGCAGCATGTCGGAGAGGGCGCCGACAGCAGCCAGACACGTCTGCGAGTGCTGTGTGTTCTGCAACGCCTCCACAACAAGCGGCTTGACTGTGTCAAAGTACGGTGCAAAGTCACGCTCCAGCTCTAGCGACACGACACGGGCGAAAGCACGGTTGTGTGCATGAGTGAGTGGTTGTGAGTGCGTGAGTGAATGCTTGAGAGTAAGAAAACTAATTTGAGAGGGTAAAGCCAGGCCGACGACAAGGGTAGTGTTTTCAAACAAGATAAGATGGCAGGTGGGGGTATGTGCACGTCAGGTTCTGTCTTTCCCTCCTTTCCCTCATCCCCGGACAAGGCCGTAGAGGCGTGCACAAGAGATGCGTGCATGCAAGCACACGCTGGACGCACTTCTCAAGAGCGCCGAGATGACGCCAAACGCGTCTTCCGCGGCCTCGCTGCCCGACTTTCCGCCCATTCGCAACAGCTGCACAACGCTCTACGCCAGCAACACGACACAGGAGCAAAAAGGCGCGCACGCACACTCGTGTGAGTTGGGATGCAGCAGCAATCCAGCATGTGGTTCTGTGTGTGCGGGTGTGGTTTGCGGGACTGGCAAAAGACTGGATGAGCAGAGTGAGGCCATGGCAAAAACATGCAACGTGCGATCACCAAGCAAGGTGCCGCAGGTGCAGGCGTCACATACCATCACAATCTTGTCAGAAATGCTCTTCACGTCAGAAGCCTCAAGAACCGTGATTGCGGGCTGTTGGAAACACAGGGCCAATCGAGAAGAGAAAGGGAGGGAGGAAGACAAGGAGAAAGGAGCAAGGAGGGAGGCAAAGGAGAATACATGCGGCAAATGCAAAGTCCGTCATGCAGTGGGAAGGAAAAAGAGGCCCAAGAATGCAGCGGTGGGGTGAGTACGGGCAGTCGGTGGCCCATTGATCAAATGGACGAAGCACACTTTCACAACTGCCTGGAGCACCAATACCCAAGCCAGAAGAAAACAGCACGAGTCACCGCAAATAAGCAATACAGCAAAGGCTCAAACCCCAACCCCACCTGGAGCACTTGGCAGATGAAACCCTGCATGGCGAGGAGCTGCTTGTACTGCTCTGCGGTCTGCGGCTGCATGGTGAGGGTTGCCTCGAGGCGGCCCAGGAAGGTGCTGGTGGCCTCGGCGACGTGCGGGTAGCAATCCGCCGCGGAGAACTGAATGAGCGAGGAAATGGCGTCGAAGCACGCAACGCCCAGGCCAGACTCGTCTAGGTCATCCCTGCACACGCATACGTAATATCGTTGTGAGCAGACCAGAAAATGCGTGAGCGCGGGCGCGGGCAAGAGTGCGTCAGTGTCAGCCAAACACGGAGAGGCCACATGCACGCGAGAACCCAATCAGGCAGAGCCTCAAGCCACCCCCCCCCTCTTTCACACACACACTCACACACACACACACACACACACACACACAACACAGCGTAATATTGGACGTACCTCTGAGAGACCTGGATGAGGGCACCCATGACCGTGCTGTACTGTTGTGAGAGGAGATAGGAGGGTGGCTGGTACGCATCCTCGTCCATGGTGCTCAGGGCAACGTTGAAGCACTCCTCAGCTAGAGAGGAGATAGACTAACACACACACACACAACCAAACAAAGAAGTGCGTTGTGAGATGACATCGGGTGGACAGAAGGAACAGCCAGCACAACCACACGCACGAGGAGACCAAGAGGATAAGGCGCCTTGCTCCGTTGCTCCCCTTCCCTCTCCACCCACTCGCTCATGTACAGGACACATGGACGACGTACCCAGCACGAGTTTGTGGAGACGCGAGGCGGGAGGCTGAGGGCAAATCCCAGGGCCTCCAGCAGCGAGGGGAAAATTTCGGGCGTGAGCATAATCTCCGGGAACAGCTCAATCATGCGCCCTACACGCATGTGGAGAGGGGAGAGGGGGAGAGGGGAGAGGGGAGAGGGGAGAGGGGAGAGGGGAGAGGGGAGAGGATAGCGGCAATGCATGTGTAGTAATCGTTAGCTGCCAATAAAAGTAACGACATCGCGAAGAGGAGCTGGAGGTGACACGTTGCAAGCGGCAGGCGCAGCACAGTACAGGGTACAAGCAGAGACCAGGGCACGGACAAAATAGCACGAAGCAAGGGCTGGCGAGATGTGGCGGTGCATGACGCACCAAGAATCCACGCCACTGAGTCCTGCACCACGACGGAGTTGTCCTGGATGAGGTTGACAATGGGAAGCGCAGCCTGCACCACAATCTCGGCAAGCTTGTCCTGGGACGGCCCGCTGAGGATGCTGCCAAAGGCAAGGATGGACGCATCGCGGTAGCGCCAGTCTTCGTGACCCAGGTTCGACTGCACAAACTGCAGCACAGGCTGTTGTTTTGGGAGTCCACGAAAGGGGAGAAGCGACAAAAAAAGTGTGTGTGTGTGTGTGAGTGAGTATGACAGTGGGTGTAAGGCAAATCGAGAGAAGCGGGAGTGCTTGTGGTGGTGATTGTGTGTGTGTGTGTGTGTGTGTGTGTGTGTGTGTGTGTGTGTGTGTGTGTGTGTGTGTGTGTGTGTGTGTGTGTGTGTGTGTGTGTGTGTGCGCGTGCGTGCGTGTGCGTGTGTGTGTGCGTGCGTGTGTGTGTGCGAGTTGGTCGCGTGCCACTCAGAAGGCGCACAAGCCCATTCACACAAGTACAAGGCCACAGCAGTGCACGGGCCCTACTCACGTCGACCACGGCGTCCTTGATGACCTCGGCGATGATGCCGAGACAGACGGCAGCGGCCTTGGACACAGTCCACTCGTCCTCGTCCTCCTCTTCCTCCTGCTGAGCGAGCAGCTTAAGCAGCACGGGCAGCAGCTTGTCCTGGGCAGCAAGGCAGTAGTTTGCGCTGACCTCCGATGGGCTGAGCCCCTTGGCCATCTGGTCCTCCGCCTGGTCTTCAAGCTCAAGCTCGCGCTCGGCGATGGTCGTCCAGAACTCAATGCCCTGCAGCGCAATCTCCGTTGTCTCCGACCTCATCGCCGTGTTCATAATCTGGACCGGCGCACAGGCGGCGGGTGAGGGGAGGAAGGTCGGACACACGCGCGCGCGGTGTGTGTGTGTGTGTGTGTGTGAGGGAGTGATGTGATGCGAAAGCATGTCGAGGGAATTGTCACGGCAAGTGTTTGCCAGCAACGCCACGTGACCTGACTGCACACTCGTGCAGGTTCTTCACACTGACCGGGAAGAGGGCGTCGTTCATATACTCCTGAAGATGATGGTAGTACACATCTGCAATGTCGACCAAGCACTGAATCGACGTCTCCACGACTTTGGCGTCGCCAGAGAGCGTGCTGTTGCACACAGCCTGTGCGTGTGTGTGTGTGTGGGGGGGGGGGAAGCGGGGAGGCAACGCAAGATGCGTCAGAAACGCAAGAAAGAATGCCAAACTTCATCGCAAACGTGCGCATACACACACATATAGGCGCACACCACGCACCATCATGATGTGGTCGCGCTCGTCCTTTGAGTTGAAGTTGTCGCGGCAAAACTCGATACTGTTTGCCAGCGCCTTGATGGCAGCAGTCTGCACCTTTGCGCTTGCCGTGCTCGATGTCATTGCCTGTTGTGAGGTGTGGGTGGGTGAGTGGGTGAGTGAGTGAGTGAATGAGCGAGTGAGTGAGTGCGTGTGCGTGTGCGTGTGCGTGTGCGTGCGCAATGGAGGCGACTAGGGTGAGTGGAAATAATAGCGTGGGGAGCACTACTGGACAATGAAGGCAGTGATGTCAAGTGCGTGTCAGTGCGCGCATGTTAAGAAGAAGCAGGTTTGAGCATGTACACCACGCACCCCGACGACAGCTGTGAGGATGTCGTTGGCAAATGGCTGAAGCACGTTCGGGTCCTGACAAGGGGAGGAGAAAAACGCGGGAGGCGACTCGTGAGTTGCAGTAGGCGAGTCGAAGGAAAGGGTAGACGAAAAGAATCACACAGAACATCGAGCGCATGTGGCGGGCAGATAAAACCCGAATTGCGCACATGTAGAACGCAAGCGGCACACACACACACACACACACACACACACGCACACACAAAACAAGAGCAAACGGATAACGGCGCCGGGGATGACGCACAATGTCGGTAATGTCGCCGGTGAGATAGCCAAGGGCGTCCATGACGGAGACTGTGAGGTCCTCTGTCACGCCCTCGCCGTCCAGTCGACTCAGCAGCATCGGCACGGCATCAGGCCACATGCCAAGAGGCACCTCAATCGTGCTCACCGCCGCATACACCTAGATGAGGGTTGTTGTTGTTGTTGTTGTTGTTGTTGTTGTTGTTGTTGTTGTTGTTGTTGGTGGTGGTGGTGGTGTTGTGGGTATCACGATGAGCACACGCGAGAAAGTGTGGAATTCAGTCAAGCCATCGAGAAAAGGACAATGGCAAAGGCATGTGGAGGATTTGAAAGGGAAGGGGAGGAGGCCAAACGCCTTAGGGAGTAGGCGAGCGCACAACCCAAGGACACTGCTTTACCTGAGCCGCTGTGGAGGGATGGGACTTCTCGGTGCCCAGTGTGTTGAGTGCACATTGCTTGATGTGGGTGCGGATACTGTCGTCAATTTGAGTCCAGCTGGCGCGCTCTTCCTCGCGAATGAGGCCGTGCTGGCCAGAGATGCAGTTCTTGAGCTGCAGACCTGCTTGCTGTCGTGCTGCTGTGGTGTAATCCACAGTCACCAGCGCATTTGCCAAAGCGCCCATCAAGCCAGGCTGAATGTTGCCCCAAAACAGAGAACACACAAGAGGAAGATGAGGTAGCGGTGGTGGTAGGGTGATGGTGGCCGTGGTGGCGAGATGGTGGTGGCAATTTGGGGTTGGTGAGCAGTACAGACGACAGCCACTGGCACGCTGGACACAAAGAGACGTTGACGCACACACACACAGCACCACAAAGCATGCACACACGCACATGTATGGAGAACACGCTGTGTACACGAGAATGATACATGCAGCGGTGCTGATAGTGACAGCGACAACAGCCGTGACGAAGACAACGCAGCGAGCAAGGCAACAATAACGCTCCAGTTGTGGCGTTGGCTGTGTGCTGGCGCTCACCTTGTCGTTGGCCTTGGCCTCGTCGAGCCAGTTCTGGGCAGCCTCGCGCTCATTTTGGTCTGGTGGCACAGCAGTGCATGCGTGCGTGAGAGAAAGAGAGAGTGTGTGTGTGTTTGTGTGTTTGTGTGTGTGGATGAGGGAGAGAGTGTGTGTGAGCAAATGAGGAGAGAGAGAGAGTGTGTGTGTGTGTGTGCATGTGAGTGAGAGTGGGTCAATGAAACCTGCGAGCGGTAAGCCCACACACACGGTAGTGTGCAATGTACCTGTGGAGAGAGTTGCCTCCAAGGCAGCGACCAGATGCTCCATGTGTGTGCGTCTGTGTGTGTGTGTACTGCGTGTTGTTGTAGTGGTTCTGCATGGGATCGATCGACGACGAACAGGAGCCAGAGGTGAGCATGGCACGAAGCACTACGACGAATACACACACACACACACACACACACACACACAAACACACACACACACACACTTGCACCAGGCAGTGCATCTGGCTGCACTCAACAAGACACACAGCGAGCTTGCTCACACCTCAGTCAGCCGTGGCTGTCGGGGGGCTGAGCGCTGTTGTCGTTTGCTGTGTGCCCACTGCAGATAGACAGAAGAAAACGAAAAAAACGGGCGGTGCGGGAACAAGTGCTTTTGCGTGCGAGTCGTATGCTCAACTATCCACCGCAGAGAAAAAAACGAACTCGGCCCGTTACTCTGGCACCAAATCCTTCCACGCATATATCATAAAAAAAAACACAAAGGCAAGAAGGCAGGACTGACAGTGGCAGCACACCAGCACAGCATCTTCCCATATCATCTCCCAACATCGCCCTCCGTCAGCGTAGAAGTGCAGCGCCAACAAGACGAATGGCGAGATGCTCGTTTCTGCCACCAACGCGTTCGGCGAATGTGTTGGAGAAGGCATGGTACTGGTGCAAGTCCAGCTTGTTGGCAGAAGCGTGCGTAGCCGCGTTGCTTCGCGCGATGCAGTGGACAACGGGGGGCACGGGCCTCAAGGGAGTGGTGGTGGTTCTGGCACACCCACGCAGCGGATCCACAAAGCTGCTCGCGGACCTGCACAACTCACAAGCAGAGGAGCAAGCCTGCCCGTTCTTGGTGGAAGGTGAAATCTTGAACCACGCCGTGGAGCGATACGGCAACTTCGAGGGCTGCAGTACGTGGCGGTGCCAGTTGCACATTCAAGCCTGCGTGGCCACGGCAGTGCTCAGACATCGCATCATGTCATGGTGGTGCTCCTGGTTGCGACGGTGGTGTTGCAAGACCACAGCCAACAAGCACGCAGAAGAACAACATGGACCACACGTGCAGCGAGAGCAGCAGCAAGAGCAAACGCAACAAGGGCAAGAGCAAACGCAACAACAAGAGCAAACACTACAACAACGGCAAACACAACAATTTAAACAACAACAACAACAACGACGACGACGACGACAACAACAGCAACTAGAGCAACAGCAACTTAAACAACAACAACAGCGACAACGAAGTCAGGAACAACGCGCGAACGAAGCAACACTTGTGCATGAGGAGCAGGGCGTAAGCGTGGTGTTCAAGGTGTTCCCAGAACAGCTGCACCACCTCAAGCTGGCTCTGCGTGATGTGCTGAGCTGCATCCCAGTTGTGGCTGTGATCGTGCTGTATCGTCGCAGTTTGCTCGACTCGTACACATCGCTGCAACTGGCCTTTTCTACCAACGTGTGGGCGAACGTTGTGAGTGCTGGCCTTGGCAGTGCGCACGATGCGCAGCAGCAACAATCGCACCACGATGCAGCGCTGCCTGCAGCCAGAAGCAGGGAGATGGACAGCTCCACGCAGCGGCCGGCGTATGTGGCCATCAGTGAAGACGACTTTGACGAGTGGTGTGGAACACTGCTGGAAGAGATGGACCAGAGTGTCCAGGATGTGCCCATCGAACGCGCCATCATCCTTTGCTACGAAGACACCATTGCACGAGCAAGCCACCAGCAACACCACCAGCAGCAACACCACTTGCCCAGGCACCGTACACAGACAATTTGTGCCCCAGCGCCACGCATGATCAGCGGCACAGTGGACAATCCCTACCTCGCCCAACTGCTCGCCGCTTTACGTCATATGTGGCCCCGCGAATGCACTGCCAACAAGAGGGGTAGACCACCGGCAGCATTGACAGCACCGACAGTTCCGCTTGATGGATCCTGGTGGGGAAGAAAGACGGGGGAAGGCGTTGGCCCTCACATTCACGTGAAGCGCTCGCACTTGCAGGCTGTTCCCATCCTCAGCAGTGACGTTGCGGGTCGCGATGATGGTGGTCGCAGCGGCGGCAGCGGCGGCGGCGGCGGTGGTGGTGACGAGCACAGGGATCCTGCTGGAAGGTGTGAAGGCGCTTGTCAACCGAGTGGCATCTCAGCCAACCACCCATTGCGCAGGCGGCAGCTCTACATTGGCGAAGCACGCGACGCACCTGTGCTTCGAGCATCGATCCTGAACAGCGGTTGAGCGGGAGTGGTGTGTGTGCGTGTGTGTGTGTGTGTATGTGTGTGTGTGTATGTGTGTGTGTGTGTGTTTGTTTGTGTGAGTGTGTATGTGTGTGTGTGTGTGTGTGTATGTTTGTGTGAGTTTTCATCTGTCGGCCCTTTCCGAACGCACTTCAAGCTGACACTCTTGTTGAGGCTTCTGGGTTTATCATCAGACATGCATCAAACCAAAGTGCGCACGTGTGTCGTAACAAACATTCAAGGTGTCAAACCAAGTCAACCGTACCAACAGCAACAACAGCAGCAACAACAAGAACGGCAAGGCAAGGCAAGCAAGCAACCAACTCACATCGAGGAGGGCGTAACAGCAGTCAGTTGGGAATGAATACACACCAACAAGATACACAGCAACAAGCAACACAAGGGAGCAAGCGAATCAACAGTATGTGGTGGATGACCACATGTGCGCGTGTGCGCGCATGTGTGGTCCCATGCGAACGCACGAGGGTGCAGCGGCTTGGCGCAATCAACAGCAGCGGTTACACGACGGTCTTGCGTGTCTCCGGAACCTTGCTCAGATTGGTCGCCACCTTCTCTGCCTTTTGCCGAGCAGCCCGCCTGCGCGCCTCGGAGGACGACGATGATGATGGTGTGCCCGAGGTTGAGCTATGGGCATAGCCTGTCCTGTGGCTGTGCTGCGGCGTGCGTGACGCTGAAGACGAAGACGAGGAGGAGGAGGTGCTGGTGGCAGCGGTTCGCCCTGCTGTTGGTGTCTGTGCAGGCGCCTGGTACTGCTGCTGCTGCTGCTGTTGCTGTTGTTGCTGAGGTCTGGGTGCGCTTGCGGTCTTGAAGGCCTCCTCGTCGTTCTTGCTGCCCTGCCCAAGGCCGGTCTTCTTCAGGTTCATGCTGATGCTCTTGCTCAGGTTGACTGTCGGGATGTGCGCCTTGCCCGTGATCCAGGGGTGCTGCAGCACCTGGCACGTGTCGTAGCGCTTGATGGGGTCGACCACGAGCATGTTGGAGATGAGGTGCTTGGCCTCCTTGGAGATGTCCTTCCAGTACCGCTCGTCAAAGTCAAACCGGCCCTTCATGATGAGCTCAAAGAGCACGGCGTCTGATTCGTCGTAGAATGGCGGGTAACCGCACAGCAGGATGAACAGGATGACGCCGAGCGACCACACGTCCACCTGCTTGCCGTAGCCGCGCTGCATCAGAATCTCGGGGGACACGTAGTTGGGCGTGCCACACGCCGTCTGCAAACGAAGGAGTGGAGGGAGGGGGCGGGGATAGATGTGAGGAAGGAGTGCACGAAGTGAGATGGTTGTGAAGAGGGAAATAAGGACGGGTAGCGAGCGCACAGGCTTGAAACGCCCGCACAACAAGCGCATTGTGTAATGAAGGCAGTCTTGTCATTGCCAGTCAAACGAACGACGTGACAGACACAACGACACAGGCAAACACACATATTTAGACACAGCGTTACAGGTTCACACAGCACACAGCACACACGCACACAGACCTTGAGGACGACGTTGTCGTTGAGGAGCTTGGCGAGGCCAAAGTCCGTGACGAGAATGTCAGAGTTTGGGCTGCGGTCACGGAAGAGCAGGTTCTCTGGCTTGAGGTCGCGGTGCACAATGCCTTGCTCGTGCAGGTATTGGATGGCTTCTGTCATCTGCTTTGTGATGCGGCTCGCGTCGGCCTCTGTGAAGTTGCCCTGAAGCATGGACATGGCGGTTGCAGCAGGAACGTGAGCGCTTGAGATTTGGGGGGGGGGGGAAGAGGGCAAGGAAAGAAGCAGAGCAGAGCGATGGTGCGCAGAGCAAGGGCAAGCAAGTACAATTGAACACACGCACACACATGGACACAAACAAGGAGGCAGGCGGAGATGGACAAACAGGGAGGCAGAGATTGAAAGGGCGCGCATCCATACACACGCACACACACACGCACGCACACACACACACACACACACACACACACACACACACACACACACACACACACACACACACACACACACACACACACACAC